TATAGGATGTGTATTTTTCTACAGCATTTTTAAAGCATGCTTCTCAGCTGTGCAATTGCTAACTCTACCACTTACTCTGGCTACTGCTAGTGGTCAGCTTGCTGGCGATCTTAACGTTCGTTTCGTCCCTCGATGAGGCCATCATCCCACAGGCGGATCCAGGACGAATTTCTGGTCGGGGGGAGGAATGGAGACGGGGGAGGGGGAGAGCCCCCTCCCACCCTGAAACTATGAAAAAACCAGGAATAAGGTTGTAGCACTGCTGCTCAAAGTTACCTTAGTTTAGAGATACATCAGGCTTTTGTTTACTTTGGTTTTAACTTTAGACCGGGGCTTTTGCAGCACTGGTGCATGTGCCGTTCGGGAAGGAGAGGGGGCAAACGACTCTTCACCCCACTGCCCCTCGATCTATTTGGCAGGGCTTTAATTGTCTTGAAGTGTTGCTGAAGTGTGTTTGCACAATCATTACAGGTGTCATTGCTCACCAGTGTCTGTTGAGCATTCTAAAAGTCGTCTCGAAAGTTTCCGTTCCTAAATCACAGTGTGGTACTCAAACGAAACACGTTTTGTGCAACTGTTACACAGCCCAAAACGCATAAAAAATGGAAAACTACAGAAATCGGGGCCCCACCAGTATTAATTTATAATATTACTTCCAGTAATGCCAAAAAAATCGCTGGAAGATGTGCCGAATGATATTGAATTCAATACGTTCTACACGCAGCTGCGATATGTCGATCATAGCTTCGATAATTTACGTCGCTTTAAACGCTATCAACACTTTCAGCATCTCCAGTACGACCAGAGGTAGTTTCTTCTTTTTTTTTTTTGGAATTACGTGGGTTAGCAGCTTTTTATTGAACTGTATGCCGCAGCAGTGAAATTTTGGCCTCGATTTACCATTCTGTTCAAAACAAAAAAAATGCATTTTTATTCGTTTACCTAACAATTTGACAATAAAAATTAAATTTTTTATGACAAATTTCCCAAAATATGCCAGTGGAATTACAGCATTTTCAAAATATGGAAAATATCAAAATAAAAATGAAATTAAAATCAAAAATACAGTCAAAACATAAAAATGCAATCAAATAAAAATAATTTTTCTCGAAACTTGGGAATTTACCACAGTTTTATATTTTTTCCTGCTTTTTTATTTGGATTCAGAAATTGGGAGCTAACCAAAGCTTTTTTTTGTGTTTCATTGTATCAGTGCGGTTATTCGAAAAAATACTTTTTCTTTTTTTCTTAGCATTGTGGGCTGTTGAGTTGTGCTGCATTATGCAAGGAATGGAACCACAAAT